CCTGCAAATCTTTTGTTTTCAAGCACACCGCCTCTCGAAGCAATGAGGCTGCTGTGCTCATTGTGGGCGACCAAACAGAGGTCGATCCACGGTGAATGACTGAAACTTGGTTTGTGGGACATATCCCGCGCGCACTTCTATGGAACACCAAAGCGCAGGATATTCATAGAGCTTCCCAGCGAAGAGCCAAGAGCTGAAGGAGGCAAGATATGTGGACTTCTTCCGCTATCCATGTATGGAACACAAGATGCACCGAACATATGGCAATCCCATTACTCAGGGATTTTGATAGAAGGTGGGCACAAGCGTGGAAAATCCAACGCTTCGGTATTTTATCACCCACAGCACGATGTTCGTGTGATGGTACATGGAGATGATTTCCTAGCACTAGGTGATCAGAAACATCTCAGTGAGCTGGAAGACTTGCTGCGCAAGTCCTATGAGCTGAAATGTCTCGGAATCATCGGAGACCATCCTGAGGACAAGACAGAAATTCATTTCCTGAACAGGTTGATTCGGTGTGGTGAAAGTGAAGGAAGGCCAGCAGCATGGATTGAACCTGATCGCAGGCATGTGGACCTGCTGATCCAGAGCTTTGGCATGACAAACGCAAAAGGCGTAGAAAGTCCGGATGTTAAGAAATCTGCAGACCAACAGGCTCTTGAAACCAGGAGCCCCTTGCTTCCAAAGGAAGCCGCGTCAGAGTTCAGATCCGCAGTAATGCGGGCAGCCTATCCACACATTGGCCATGCTGTCAAGAACCTCGCGAGACGGCTGGTTCAGCCGACCGAGGCTAGTTTGACAGATCTGAAGAGACTGATCAGATACTTGATCAGGTACCCAGACTTCGCTCAGGTTGTCAAAGCACAAAAGACACCTGAGAGACTTGTCATACAGGTTGATGGCGATCATGCACGAGACGCAGTGGCAAGAAAATCGACCACAGGCATGATTGCCTTCTATGGGCAGCATGCCCTGAAACACAGTTCGAATGTGCAGTCAACCATTGCACTTTCGACAGGTGAATCAGAGTACTATGCTCTGGTTAAGGGTGGAAGTACTGGGCTGGGAACTCAGTCCCTATTGGCTGACTATGGTATCAATGCAGCTGTCACCATCGAGTCAGACCCGAATGCTGCAAAAGGTACAGTCAACCGTGTTGGACTTGGCAAAGCACGCCATATCCAAACCCGTTACTTGCGGCTGCAAGAACGAGTAGCCGAAAACCACCTTAAGGTCGTGCATGTTCCAGGTAAACAAAATCGATCAGATGTTCTGACGAAGCCTGTGCCTGGCACGCAGATGCATCAGACTATGACTAAGTCAGGGTATGTGTATCTGACAGATCGGAGCAAAGGCCAGATGAATCTACTCAAGTGAAGGCCCTGGCCAGACTCCGCTACCTCCAGCCGAAGAAGAACTGAGAGCCGGAGGCTAGCTCTTTGCGAGTGTACATAAATCATTCTTCAAGAGAGGAGGAGTGAAGACATGTACATACCATAAATAACCCTTATGTACAGTGTAAAGATCCAGGGTTTTAATGTGAGCCCGATGTTACTTTTGGCTCAAGTAAAATAGAGCTCCGCAGCTCGATAGTCTGTTTTCAAATATGCATACATTACATACCAAACCATACCATACCATGCCGGACCAGACCATACATTACCTTACCTCACCTTACCTCACCTTACCTTACTTTACCTTCCCTTACCTTTCCTTACCATACCATACAAACGTTACTTACATTACTTGCATTCCATACATTATTTACATTCCATACGTTACAGACATACCATACGTACCATACGTACCATACGTACCATAAATACCATCCATCCATCCAGCCATCCAGCCACCAGCCAGCCAGCCACGCAGCCATCCAGACATACATGCATTCATTCATTCCTACATACATACATTCGTTCGTTCGTTCATTCGTTCGTTCGTTCGTTCGCTCGTTCATTCGTTCATTCGTTCATTCATTCATTCATTCATTCAGTCATTCAGTCATTCAGTCATTCATTCATTCATTCGTTCATTCATTCATTCATTCGTTCGTTCATTCATTCATTCATTCATTCATTCGATCGTTCGTTCGTTCATTCATTCATTCATTCATTCACTCATTCATTCATTCATTCATTCATTCACTCATTCACTCATTCATTCATTCATTCATTCGTTCATTCATTCATTCATTCATTCGATCGTTCGTTCGTTCATTCATTCATTCATTCACTCATTCACTCATTCATTCATTCATTCATTCGTTCATTCATTCATTCACTCATTCACTCATTCACTCATTCATTCATTCATTCATCCATTCGTCCATTCATTCATCCATTCATTCATTCATCCATTCATTCATTCATCCATTCATCCATTCATTCATTCATCCAGTCTTCCATTTATCCACTCATTCATTCATTCCATTCCATTCCATTCCATGCCATGCCATGCCATGCCATGCCATTCCATCCATTCATTCCATTCATTCCATTCATTCCATTCATTCCATTCATTCCATTCATTCCATTCATTCCATTCATTTCATTCATTCCATTCATTCCATTCATTCCATTCATTCCATTCATTCCATTCATTCCATTCATTTCATTCATTTCATTCATTTCATTCATTTCATTCATTTCATTCATTTCATTCATTTCATTCATTTCATTCATTTCATTCATTTCATTCATTCCATTCATTCCATTCATTCCATTCATTCCATTCATTCCATTCATTCCATTCATTTCATTCATTTCATTCATTTCATTCATTTCATTCATTTCATTCATTTCATTCATTTCATTCATTTCATTCATTTCATTAATTTCATTCATTTCATTCATTTCATTCATTTCATTCATTTCATTCATTTCATTCATTTCATTCATTTCATTCATTTCATTCATTTCATTCATTTCATTCATTCCATTCATTCCATTCATTCCATTCATTCCATTCATTTCATTCATTTCATTCATTTCATTCATTTCATTCATTTCATTCATTTCATTCATTTCATTCATTTCGTTCATTTCGTTCATTTCGTTCATTTCATTCATTTCGTTCATTTCGTTCATTTCGTTCCTTCGTTCCTTCGTTCCTTCGTTCATTCGTTCCTTCGTTCATTCATTCAGTCATTCATTCATTCATTCGTTCATTCATTCATTCATTCACTCACCCATTCATTCATTCATTCATTTATTCATTCATTCATTCATTCCTTCGTTCGTTCGTTCATTCATTCATTCATTCATTCTTCCATTCCATTCCATTCCATTCCATTCCATTCCATTCCATTCCATCCATTCATTCATTCATTCATTCGTTCGTTCGTTCGTTCATTCATTCATTCATTCATTCATCCATTCATCCATTCATTCATCCATTCATTCATTCATCCATTCATTCATTCATCCAGTCTTCCATTTATCCACTCATTCATTCATTCCATTCCATTCCATTCCATGCCATGCCATGCCATGCCATGCCATGCCATTCCATGCCATTCCATTCCGTTCCATCATTCATTCATTACATACATTCATTCATTACATACGTGTATTAAGTGACATAGAGCTATAGTTGCAGAATTGTATGATTGTGGGATTGTATGTGTGATGGTTTATGCAAAGATATAAAGACAGTACTTACATGTAATTAAATGACAATGCATAAACAACAGATATACTTGTATACTGTCTTGTGTACCAGTATGTATATGGATACATATTATATATACATATGTGTATACATATATATATGTATGTATACACATATGTATATATATACACATATACATACATATATATACACATTCGATACTTTGTTTAGGATTTGTTTTTTCACCCAAATATGGACTCGGAAAGGGGAAGGGCAAGATATATTGCCTTCAATTTTGACGAGTTTGGCTTAGGAGTTTTCCGACTCGTTCACTTTGGCCTTGGTCTTGTCATTATGCAACTACTCTACCTCTCGAACCATGTATGAGAATGTGTTCATATTATTTCATATTGTCCTACTATGTTCCACTCAATTTATGGACAATGTCCTTGAAACTGTGTTTTTTTCTTTTGGCCCCAGTTTGCAAAAATGTTGCGCAGTTGATGCAAGACATGGCTTAAAATGGCGTTGCACGGGTTCTTCGAACAACAATGGCAGAAAAGTGCAATTTAAGCAGCACAGCAGCAGGCACATAACACATCACACTCCGTGCATCTTGTGTAGTTTCATGACAGACGCACAAACAGGCACAAACGCGCAAAAACATACACAAACACACGTACAGATGTGCATACAAAAAAAAATTCGACCAGAGCCTTCGCAACGAATTGCACGCACACAATGCTAGTCTTGCATGATCTTTGGTTGTAGCTGCTTCTTGCAGCTAATTGTGCCTGCCAATGCCTGCCAATGTCTGCCAATGCCTGTCACGTTTCGAAGAATCTGACGCAAAAGCAATGTGTGCCTGCTCCGCCAGAAAGAAAACTTAGCAATGTTTAAAGCAAGTAGAGCAAAATATGAAGAGAACAATGACAGGAGAAGGAAACTTGAGATTGTCGGCAGTCTTAGTTTAAGGCATTTTTACGTAATTCTACGTACACAGATTGTTTGCTGAAATTCTGTACTTTTTCTGTCAAGGTCCCCTCTGTGTGTATGTATGGCGGATGTGCGAAAACGCAAAACTGCCAGAACAAAAAGCATTCTTCTGTGAATAAATTGTAAACGCGTTTACTTTGCACTTGTTTGCTGTCTCGTGTTTCACATTTTTCTGCATGAGGGCAGCATTTTTTTGGCGTAGTGGCACATGTGCAGGCACATGCACAAGTTGTTCTCCATGTGTAGTTTGAGAGTACGGCTAATTACTTAGGAGGATATCTGCTGCACGTAGCTGCCTGCGATGATACAACTTGTCGATTTTCATAGGGCATCAGTTTCAGTTTGGCTTGGCAGATTTGTCGGGATTCCCGCAGTTTGATTTTTCGCAGGCTTTAACAGCGCTGGTTGCGTCGAGCTCAGGCACTGGTCCAACATCTCCATCTCAAAAGGTGAACCAAACATAGCCAGATCATTTGTCAAATTTGTCAATCTATGTCAATCTCTTGCGTCGCATTCTCAAACAGCTTCAATGTTGCTCCAGCATGCTCTGGGAAAGAAAAAACTCGGGATGCGAAATGAGCACAGCTTTCGGACCAGTTCTGCAGGGCCTGGGAGCGCAATGCGGACCTTGTGGCGTGGCGCTGGTGTGGCCTGGGCCCGAGCGTGGCATTCCCGCAGCACAGCGTGAAAAATTGAACGGTTTGAACAGTTGACTCAGTTGACTCAGTTGACTCAGTTGACTCAGTTGACTCAGTTGACTCAGTTGACTCAGTTGACTCAGTTGACTCGGTTGACTCAGTTGACCAGACTCTCACAGTTTGAAGCTCACAGTTTGAAGCTCACAGTTTGAAGCTCGAAGAGACCAAGCAGCGTGTCGCCCCGTCACATGGTGTACAATGTTGCGTGTAAAAGTGCTTTCTGCTAAGATTGTAGCTCGTGGCTCTGCTCTTTCTGCTTCTCAACTGATGGCGTGCTGAGCTCAGCTGGAAGCACTTTGCCGCATCTCCAGGGCATCTCAAGCTAGCGGACTGCCGACTCACGGAAGCGCACAGGTCCTTCAAAGAAAACCTTGCCGCAAAAAAAGGTGAACAAGAAACAGCAACATCACCAATTCATACTGTAAATGTGCAGCAACAGCAAGTTTCACAGGAGGATTTGTTGGTTTCTTTGGCTCACAAGATTCCCATTTTGCATGCTCTGGATTTGTAATCATAAATTGAAAGGGTCCCAGGCTGGCGGAAACTGAAAAAGCAAAATTAAACTGAGACGAGGCATCAAGCAACCTAAATTGAGACTGAGGTATGCATGGTTGAATGCTGTTACATGCCAAGAGAGTGAAAGCTACAGACCCCATTCAAGACAGAGATGTTTGAGAATGTTAATAAAGTAATATAAAGTATATATACAAGTAGCAGCGAATTACATTGAAAGTGTGAGTGCCGGAGCATTCCGACCAACGCTGGCACAAGTCACACTCAATAGATCTGAATACCAAATCCTGCAGCAAGTGTGCAACACTGTCTCCTGGAATGCTTTGTTGCAAGCACTAAGAAGGATCAAACCAAAGTGTGGAGAAACGCAGTAGATGTGAATCGCAATTCCAGCTGTGCACTACAAAACTGATCAAAACTGTTGAGCATGCTGTTTTGCAAGAACAAAGTGCCGGGAAATGGTATAGTATAGCACGGATGCTGTATCTCGGAAAATATAATCAATACATTCTGTCACTGCACAAATGAGAAGCAACATTTCACAAGGTAGTTGCGTGCCGAGTTGTCACAAAGAAAGCAGTTCCATGGATTTGTTGCCGTCCAAGAATTTACACCTGCAAACAAACAATCCCCTACGTCTCCTTGTTTCTTGAAATCTTCACACTTGAAACATTACAAGTTATTATCAGGGCCTTGCAGGGGTGTGACAGATTCCCAAATCATATCTTGTTCAGCTCGGCGTTGCACCGCAGGTACGATGAAGCCAAAACGAAGCTAAAGGCCTCTGGTCTGGGCGACGGTAAGAAACTAAGCTTCGCTTTGCTTTTGCTTGCCACCCTACCAGAGTCTACCAGAGTCTATCGGAGTCTATCGGAGTCTACTATGTCAATCTTTGCCATTTTATTTTTGGACGCTAGCGTTTTGCTTTAATTTGCTTGATGCATCTTGATGCATCGGCTCCAAAGCAAGGAATCAAATCATGACATGGCACATCAATGTACCAAGATCGCCAAGTATCCGATCACATTTGACAATGGATACAGTCCGAAGCCTGCGGAGCCAAGCTCCTAATCTGACCTGATGCCATGGATTTGGACGGGGATGAAGTTCAGTCAGTTCGGTCCGTATGCACGCTTTCATTGCAGGACGATCACAAAGTCTGAGCGTACGGGTGACAACCGGTAATATATGGTGATATGAAATGATATGAATTCATATGGGTCGTTTGGACATGATTTGAACGTGCGCTCCTGAACACTTTGAAATCTTTGGAGCCCCACAAGTGCATGAGACTCTAGGATCCTCACTGAGACCGTAGGATTGCCTCCAGAATCTCTAATGTGTCTCTTCTCCCTGACCTCGAGCTCAGACAACTCTGACTTGAAGCAAGTAAACTGATTAAACTGATTGACTACTTGTTGACTACTTGAAGTCACGAAAGGTAGCGTCAGCTACCTGAGTTCTCCGTGCTTCAGCACAAGCATAGGGGGTATTGGGGGGCCAGCCCGGGTCAAACGTGGAATTCTCGCCGTTATGTATTGGATATCAATTATAAGGGGCCCCCCCCCCTCTAAAATGGTCATGGGTTCAATTCCCACGGGTGACGCGGTCACGGGCCCCCACATTAGAGGCACACTCTCCATAAGGGAGATGTCCCTGTAGTCCAGCATAATTGGTTTGCTTCAGCCTCAATAACAGTTGCTGCAAGGGGTCTTAAAAAGGGGTTTTAAGTAAACCCCTTTTCGTGCATCATTTCACGCTGCACAAGACACCGTATCATGCAGTCATGCTCTGGATAAAATCATCTTAGACTGCGCAAAAACGTTTTTGGTGTATCATCTTAGGGGCGCAGCATTTTGACACCACTCCTCTCCCACTACACTACCTTTCGTCCGCCTCCGCCTGCTCTCAAGTCTTCTGAAGTAGCATCCTGAGATGGAATTTTACAGAGCACTCTCTTGACCTTGAAAAGCTTGTTCAACCTAACAGTGTTCAGCAGACCGAGAGTCAGCCAAATACACCAACTTACACCAACTTACAACTTATTACTTTGCTTACCGAAACTCAGATTTGTTTTCACTTTGCTTTCCTCTGTGTAAATACAGGTCCAAATTCAGGTCTGGGAGTCTGGGCAAGCATTTCACTCGAAGGCCGCATACTGATAGCCATTGCATGATATTCGTTTCAGTATGACTAAAGAGGTTTCTCTACAGTCGTTTTTGCAAAGAGTCGACTTTACTTCTGGGATTTCTAGGTGACCAACTTCTCTTGACTTCTCTTGACTCAGGCATTGACATCTTGTCACTTGTTTGTCACTTTTTTGTCATTTTTTCTTGGGATCTACAGTGGTTGTGCTGAACTGTCGATGTGAGAGGAGCTTGCCCCGATCTTACCTTCAACTCTTCAACTCTCAGATTTCATTGGAATTCCAGGTTTGCCATTGTTTGCTGGCACAGCAATCGTACGGTCCACCGAAGTACCTATGCCATGTACCTATATAATTACCGGGTACCTGCCTTACTAAAAAACATTCAAACGCCTAGAGTACCACAGCACCAAGTCTGGGTACGAAACTAACTACCTAAGATCCCAGCTTTGTCCTGGCTGACTAACGACGCAATTTGCAATTACCTGACTGGTTAATGGGGCAAATGATTTCAAATGACGCAACTAGCACACAAACACTGCTGCCACGCATTTGGATAGTAAGGGAAGTGGTGGCAGATGGCAGCCACAACCGGCGTATGTCGATATGGTGCTAAGATCAAAGTCTTGGGATGCGTTGAGCAGTGATACATACGACATCATAAGACTCATGCCGCAATGACGCAATGACGCAATGTGCAAAATTTGCAAACTTTCACCAGGAGATCGGAACCCAAATTTCAGAGCATCCAATGCCTCAGCAGATTGACAGGCAGCTTTGCAGCAGGAAACAATGTGTGCAACACTTTTTTCAACAGTTTCAACATGTTTCAGCATTTTTCTGGTTCTTCTCGCATGTGTATGTTTGAAATTGTTTTCTGGAAACAGTAGGGATCAGAACGCGACAGGAGAGGCTTGAGGGTTTTCTCCTAGTCACGATCCAAGGAATGGTGTTTGGATAGACATTTGGCCAGAGCATTGGGGCATGACGATGCGGCAGATTCGAAAGCTTATGAACGAATGTAAGGAGACCCTAATCAGACACACGGGATCACAATGATCACATGCTGCACATGCTTGATTTATTTTCATTCCAGTTGCGCCCAGTTGCACCCAGTTGCGCTGTTTTTGTGCCACCATGTGGCACCTTATGATGTCTCTCTGCGGCACTTCCAAAGCCCTGTTGCACAGGACGATCCTGACTGGCACCAAAATAATTCAGTACGCGATATGGTGAAGCACCATATTCTGCCACGTACAGCTGGTACAGGTTTGGGCTGCTTGGCCCACTTGGCCCACAATCAAAGCGCAGAATGATTAATGATATTTAATGATATTAAATGATTAAAGAATCTTTGCCGTGCTGCGAAACATAAACTCAGTACCTCTATCAATAACCCTTTGCGAGACTAGATTTCCCCAAGGACAACTGGACCCCTGACCCCTCAGGCTACGCTCTGAAGGTGAATCATGAGTCACCGTTGGAAGTGGCGGTTCTCGTATCCCACTCCTGGAATGAGAACGCGGAGGCCTGCATTTGTTCATTTCCAAGACGCAGTTCTGACAGAACGCAGTGGAGACATTGCGGAGACATGTCTAAAGTCTGTCGAAGTTTTCGGCGGACTTCTCTAAGCCAAGGAATTTGTGGAAACGCTCGAGCGCACAGTTGGTGCTGATGAAGTCCTTTTTGTTTGTGCATTTGCCATATACCAGAACGAGGCTCACAGGGCTGATCAATCTACCACTGCCCTCGGATCAACGAGTCAATTGGCCACTGCGCTGTTAATGGTTTTGCAAACAGTATGATTTGAAGACAAGAAGGAAATTGATCTGATAGTTTTTTTCTGTTTGACAGGATGGTGCGGGTCCGACTGTTTCTCAACAAATTGGAGCCTCGATGAACTGCAGTCCCTTCGGTCGAGTCTTGAAGAACATTCAGGAGCACAACCTGTGGCCGTGGCCACTGCAGCCACTGCCACTGGCAGCCTGGCGGCTGCCTGCTAGGCTAAACTTTGTTGTTTCGTGTTCCACGAAATTATGGACTGTTCGGTGTAGTTGCTGTAGTTATGGTGCAATTGGATGCAATGTGCGTGGCAGGAGCAAGCTCACAAGGCAGGCTGGTGGTGGTGGCCACGTGGCACCATTTACCTTGTACCAGGTGCCTTGCCAAAGCAAATGGGGACCTGGGACTTGAGGTGGGTTAGGGGGACATGGGGGCAAGCACCATATTCAGACTCCACGAGGCAAAAATCATCTTCAGATTTTCTATATAGTCACAACCTTTCAGGGTTTCACTTGGGGACAAAGGATGACAAAGGCGCACGGGAACTGGATTTTAGGGGGACTTGGGTGCAAGCAAACCCTGCAATGACATGATGTTTGTGCTATGACATCATATGTGGGGATCGATCTAAAGGTCCTTGTAAAGAGTTCTAATTGCGAAGACCGTTCATGTTATGCTGGGAACCCTCGCGAAAGTTTTTTTTGGCGAGTTCGCGAAAGTTTCGCGAAAGTTGGCTATTATGAACCATTATTGTTATATGCATATACAGCTTGTTAAGGGCCATCACCTCCTGCCGCCCGGGGGTCCGGCAGGAGACGGGTACCGCACATGTACCGTTCCCTTCACAGGTAGCAGCCGAGCTTCCGAAGGTGAGGCTTCGTCACAGCCAAATACCATGGTCTTGAAGCGCATCCTTGGACATGCCGCTGGTACTGCCTAACGTTGCTTTCTGAAGTTTCAAGAAACGAGCTCCAAACGCAGCAGCCAAGCTTCCAAAGGTGAGGCTGTGCAAGAGCCAAACACGAAGGCCCCTGGTGTGCTGATGGCTGGGGTCTGCGGATTTTCGCGAAAGTTCCGCGAAAGTTCTGCAAAGGAGCGGGCAAGAGTCAAAGTGCATTTTGAAAGGAGTGGCCCAGTAAGCCTTGCAAAAAAAAAAGCCTAATCAGAAACAACCTGTCCGAAGAAGGGGACTCCGTGAATGCTAGCTGCATGTTTGCAAGGCTATACGAAGAAGTTATCCGTGATAATTTGGTGTGATTCGGCAGGTGATGAATGAATCTTCATAAGAGGAATTGTTGCTCAACATGGGTTCCGCGAGAGATATAAGCATGGGGGTCGCGAAAGTTCCGCAAAAGTCCGCAACAGTATTGTGAAACTGACCCATGACATGGACTGACCAGAGTGCCTATCACATGCCGAGGCCTAGCACTGGCCGACAGTAGCAGCTGAACTTTTGAGTCAGCACCCGCACATACGTGAGAAGGAGATGAAACATGGCGACAGAAGGGATCGAAGGGCTGGCGCTTCCAGCCGAGATCCAAGGGTGGCCGTGGCTACTTCAGTGAAGATGTAGTCAATGCGCATGGAGCTGATGACTGGGAGACTGGATCTCAGTCGCTTGCTGGCTTCACCGCCATCTTGGATGACAAGCCCTATGAGCCTGAGTATTACTTTGCCTTACTGTGTGAGAATGGATTGGGTCTCTACAACGACGAAGCCTGTGCCCTAGCTGCTGAGTCTCTACAACTTGAGCATGAGGCCTACCTGCCGCGAGGCCATGGAAAGGGCAAACGTCATGGTGGATTCCAGCCTCACCGTCACTTTGACATTTCTGGCAGTGTTTCTTTGCAGGAGCGCGAAGCCAGATTAGCCCAGCTGAAGTCCCGCACTGAGTGTCGCCGATGCGGTGCCAAGGGACATTGGAGTGGCGATGCAGCATGCCCCAAAGGCCGTCAAAGAAGCTTTCAAACACCAGTTCGACTTCTACCAGAACAAGCATGCCCGCAGAGGCCGGCAAGTCAAGTAGCAAGAGCGCGACGCCACGTGTGGTTTACTTTTCCTACAGTGGCTATGACCAGGGAAGTGAAGATGGCTGGAGCTACATGGCCATCAAGAAGGAGCCCAACGACACTGCGACTCCCTCAGGTGTTTGTGTTCCACCTCCAACGTCACTGATGACCACACAAGCAACATCAGATGGACCTGCACCTGCCGTGTCTTTGCCCAAAGCCTCGCCAACATGATGGCTGCAAGCCGAGCTGCCGGAGCTGCAAGCTGCCCAGCTGAGCCAACACCACGTTTGGATGAACCTGTTCGTGTCCGCACTATGGCTCCTGGACCTAAGACTTACAGCTACAGCCCCACCTCTGAGGTGGAATCCAATGAAGATGGATCTGATGAGTTCGAGAACAGCCTGCCGGACTTCCTGAAGCGCAACCCCAACGGTGATGCTGCACTTCTGCGTGAGGCACTTGGCTCAGGTGCAACGGAAGTTGTTCATGATGCGTTGCAATGCTTGAATGACATGGAAGTTGGCAGTTTGGGTGTTGCCACAGCAGTGTATTTGCCTCCCAATGCACACATCATCAATCCAGCAGTAGTCCTTCCTCCTTTAGAAGCTCTCCAAGAACGACATATGGATCAACTCAATGAATGGTTGGCGGCAAATTCACCACAAGACCCCAGGTATGCTGAAGCTTATTTGGAAAGATGGAATGAGTTTCAACCTGGGACCTGGGCATCTCCCCTTCACTCAACAGGATGCGGAGAACCTCTTGAGATGGCACAAGAACATGCTGGCTGGATACCGGCCTGAGCTGCAGCTGATTCCTGAGGCCAAAGCTCTACCTGCACCTCCAAAGGAACAAGTTGCACCAGCCTCTACTACTGCACCATCAGGTTCTGCTGATGGTTCATCAACTTGTGCACATCGCCGCATCACCCGCAAGGGCACCAACCAGCACTTTGAGAAGGAGACATGCCTGGACTGCCACAAGGTCCTCAAGAATGTGCCGAAGGGTTCGACCAATTTGGCAACCGGAAGTGCAAATGCTGCCAACGCAGCGCAACAAGCTGCCTGCAATCACCCTCGCATCAGCTGGAAGGGATCGAATGGCCATCAATGGCGCAACACCTGCATGACATGTGGCAAGGTAGTCACTGGCTACTTCCCGCACAAGACTCCTGGAGCAGGGCAACGTCCAAAGCCTTCCTCCACAACTGAGCCAAGAGCGATTGGCAGTTTTCCCATCGACAAGGTGGAGGAGATTTTCCAAATGTGCCACGTGATTGCCAGATTGAAAGCTGCCGACGACAACTCTCAGCAACTGCCTGCTGAGCGACTTCACAAGATCTTGGATGTTGTGATGGTCACTACATCGTCAAGTTCGACCTCCCCATTGCCGAGCTCTACGGAGTCTGGCGCTGATGAGAAGGGCCAGAAGATCCTTGACTTTGGAGAATTCCGTGGACGAAGCTTCATGGACGTCTTCCAGAACGACAAGCGCTACGTTGATTGGTGTTTGACACCAACAACCGAAAGCTCAAGGAATTCGTCTCCTACATCCAGCGCAAGACTGCTCCACGTTTTGGCTTTATGGCAACTGATGGAGGAGGATCTGAGAATGGCTTTGATTGCGATTTTGGACTTGGGCTGCAACCGCACTTGCCATGGTGATCGATGGCTTCAGCGGTACATGCATGCGGTGGACCAACATCACTATCCCCTGAAGCCTGACCATGGAGGAGGTTTTCGCGGAATCGGTGGCTCAGTCAACACCAAGGGCCTTCGCAGTTTGGATGTTTGCTTTGAGATTGAAGATGGCATGGCTGTTGGTGAAATCGACAGCATCGAGCTTGAGGACACTGCAGCGATGCTCCCCTTCTGCTTTCCATTTCTGATCAGCGACGTCCAAGACAAAGTCTACAGTGCCTCTTTGAAAGCCGAGCTGGTTGTTACCAACATGAATGGCCTGCTTGGAGTGCGACTTCTTCCCAAGCATCTTGCCATGCTTGGCATCACCGACGCCAAACAGCCTCTGACCTGCAGGTGATGTCCAATGAAGCAACATCTACAACACAATTACCTCTTCTAGAGCCATTAACAGAACCATATTCCGAGCGACAGCTGGCTGCCACTGGCACACAGACTTGGACTTGGATTTGTCTGTAGTCACTGGGTGTCAGACCTTGAAGCAAGATCTACAACAACAGCATGAGTCATATGTTGCAGTTAAGAAGAGACCCGCAAGACCATGAGCAAAGGTCAGCGGAAGTTCTTGGAACAATCTGTCCAAGAAATCCATGCAAGTGATCTTAGCCTCTGGGCTACTTTGACGGGCCAGAAATCCAGAACGCCTTTGCCGCGTGGGTGCAAAGTCTTCCTCATGGAGATCTTCGCTGGAGCTGCAGTTTTGACTTCAATGGCCATGACAATGGGCCTTCCTGTAGCAGCTCCGATTGACATCAAGCTGGACGGCACCGCTTTTTTGGATCCCAAAGTTCGCAATGAGATCGAAGCCCACATCGATGCTAAAGACCCTTACTGTGTCACCTTTGCGCCAGTATGTGGACCATGGGGATCCTGGAGCTGCCTCAACATGCAGCGCAGGGAAAGCACCGGAGATGCCATTTTGGCACAACGTGACGCTTGGTATCCTTGCCTCAAATGGATCGAGAAAATGGTCCGCAAGTGGATGGCACGTGGCAGAAAGTTTGTGGTGGAAAACCCTTGGCCTAGCGAGCTTTGGAGCACCCTTTGCATGGACAAGCTGATTTGCGAAGCACCCCATGATGCTGAAAGCCACGAACCTCTTGAACTTGTTCGTGGAGATCAATGTGAATTTGGACTTTGTGATGCTGTGAATGGCCTGCCCCACTACACTACAAGCCGACTGGTTTCATGACAGCCTCCAGCGGTGTGAAGAATCATGTTCAACGACGCTGCAGTGGAGATCATGAACGTCAACCCCTTGAAGGTGGACGCAGAACCCGACTTGCTCAATATCGGCCAGAGCAACTATGCAAAGCACTCATAGATGGACTTCTGGAAGATTTGCATGATCGCACTGTCATGACGGATTTTCATGATGCATCCATCGAAGAATCTGAACATGATGATGGTGGATTGGGAACTTTGGATTTTGTCTACGATGATGATGACGACTGAAGTCGTGACCCAATCCTTCCTGCGAAAGTGGATGCACAAGAACTACAACAACAAGAACAAGTTGAAGAAGCTCCTGCACCACCTGATCTGATGGAGCTTCAAGCAACCAGAAAGTTCAAATGGCTGCGTATCCCAAGGGAGACACGCGTAGCTATCAGAAGACTTCACCACATGATTGGCCATGGCAGCAACTCAGCGATGCTGCAACTTCTTCGCACTGCAGGTGCCGCTTCTGAAGCATGTGAAGCTGTTCGCCATTTTGCCTGCGAGACCTGCAGAAAGCGCGAACCTGTGAAGAGACCTCCCATTGTCAAGGAGCCCAGCAAGATGGTCTTCAACCATGAGATTTCAGCTGGCTGCTTTGAAATACATGATGCAGCTGGCAACCGCCACACTGTGTTGTCAGTGATCTGTCTTGGCACCCTCTTCCACCAAGCCTGGTGGGTAGCCCCTGGTGGAGTTGCAAAGAGCAGAGTTTGCGCTGAAGCTCTAATGAATGGATGGTTTCAACCTTTTGGAGCGCCAAAGATCATGACCTGCGACGGGGGAGTTCACAACCGTGGACGTGTTCAAGGCCTCCTACGCAGTCATGGCGTACGACTTCGCTTTGAGGTGTTGAATGTGTTGAAGCTCCCTTCCAACTTGGAAGAACGGAAAGGCAGGGCAGTGTGCTGAAACAGATCTTGAAGGGCGCAATTGAAGAGAGGCAACTGATAGGGATCAGCGACATTAAGATGTTGATCGCTGAATGTGCATCTGTCAAGAACAACCGCATCAACCATGGTGGTTTACCCCAAGCCAATGGGTCCCTGGCCGCCTGCCAACGGACATGACCTCTATCACGTCAGAAGAAGCAGAAAGCTTTGCCCTTGGAGTTCAGTCTGAACTCATGGAACCCGAGGATCAGATTGTGAGACAGATGGAGATTCGTCACGCTGCCAAGATGAGCTTTGCCAAGGCCGACAGCAGTCGCCGTGCGAGAGCAGCACTTCTGAGGAAGTCAGTGCCTCTGAGGGGGCCTTATGCCCCTGGCGATTTGGTTTGCTTTCATCGCCGCAACCGATGGCATGGACCTGGCCGCATTGTTGGCAAAGAAGGCCGATCTACCTTTTGGATCATACATGCTGGCATTCCAATTGTGGTTGCGGAAAGCCAGATCCGACCAGCCTCAACAGCTGAAGTCATGGTCAAGCAGATTTTGGAGTTGCGACCTAGCCGCAAGAGACAACGTGAGATTGATGAGGACAACGAAGATTTACCTTTTGGAGCTGATCTTACGTTGCCACACAATGCACCATCCTACTTGGAACTGCCCCATGAACCTGGATCCCAAGGTGACGGCGGAGAGCACCCCCCTGGTCTGGACTTACCAGTGGCGCAGGTGCCTCCTCCCCCCGGCTTAGACTTTAATGCCGGAGGACAGCCTCCCTTGGATGACCTGGCAGATTCCAACTCCTTGGAAGGTGAGCCGACTCAGCCTGAGTCCGAGCATGTGCCCACTTCAGGCATTCCCGCAGTTCCAACTACTCCTGCAATGGACTCTCCTGGCATTCCAACTGAGAAGATCTGCAGATGATTTGGATGGACACCGACTTAGATCCACCAAGCTCAACTGCAAGTCGAAGAGAGATCGCTTACGATCACCCCACTGTGAAGCGAGCAGCATCATGGTACCGCCTGAGACCCATGAATCAGATGATGCAGAACTTCGACAAGAGCGACATTTCATTGCTTTTCTTGCCCGACGGCAATCCATGTTTTTCTTGGGCGACGCATTCCCAAGAAGAAACGTCAAGTTGGACAGAGAGATTAACTACAAGAAGAGCGACCCTGATGTGCAACATGCGCTGGATCAGACCAGACGCAAGGAATGGAACAACTGGAAACAATTTCAAGCCGCACATGTTTTACCACCTGGCAAGGAACAAGATGAGTACCTTGCTGCCAATCCTGACCTTGTGGTCATTCCCAGCCGATGGGTCGACACCGACAAGTCAGAAGACCCATCCAAGCCAGAGTACAAGTCACGACTCGTTGCACGAGGAGATCTTGAGAAATCTTCATCTACCAGCCCAGTGCGAACCGACAGCCCTACATCCAGCCAATTGTTCCTCCACACAATCATTTCCTTTTCAGTTTGCAAAAAGAAGAAGGTGGGTGGTGGAGACATTTCAGCTGCGTTCCTGCAGGGCACCCAGATCAAGCGCAAGTTGGCTTTGAAATTGCCAGCTGATGGCATTCCAGACGAGGACATTCCTCCTGGGTCCTTGCTGATTTGTGAGAAAAGTGTCTATGGAACATGCGATACACCACGTGGATTTTGGAAAGGTTTGTTTGACACTTTGCTGGAATGTGGTTTGAAAGAAGTGCCAATGGAAACATCAGCATACTACCTGCCTGGACCTGAAGGTGAAGTTTTAGGTTTGCTTGGCACTCACGTTGATGGTTTGTTTTGGTGCGGTGGAGCTGAGATGGATGACGTTATTGCGAAGGTTCAAGAGCGCTACAAGTTTCGTATCACCAATGCTGAAGATTCTGAAGATGGAATTTTCAAGTTTTGTGGACGTTTGATTAGCCAGACCAACGACGGTGTGACAATCACCTCACCTGGAGTTTTGGATCGTGTCAGGGCGATTTTCATCGAGCCAATGAGACGCAAGCAAAGAGGACTACCAGCCACACCTGCTGAGATTGCGCAACTGCGCTCTGTGGTTGGAAGCCTTAGCTGGTACAGCCGAGTGTGCCGACCTGACCTTGCCTTTCAGGTCAACCAGCTACAAGCTGTGCAACAGAAAGCTCGAGTGGAAGACCTTATGGTCGCCAACCGCCTGCTGAACTTTGCCCTGGAAAGACGAGACCGCGGCGTACACTTCGCCGCGGACGCTTTTGAGTTTGAAGAGGCGATCATTCTGAGCATCAACGGCGCGAGCCATGCTGCAAGTTCTGATGCGACCAACGAAGGACACATTGTTGGTCACCGATCGCATTCTGGCCGTCTTTTGGCATTGACATTGAAGGAGTTTCTAGAGACAGGCAAGGGCAAGATTCATCTACTTCAATGGTCAAGCACAGTGATCAAGCGAGTCTGCAGAAGCACTTTGCAAGCTGAGACGTTGAGCGTGCAATTGCGCAGTGAAGATGCAGAGCGTATGCGCCAATTGCTCTATGTGGTCAAGAATAAGGCGACGGCATTGAAGCGCACCGAGAACTTCATCAATGCCATGGATGAGACAGTTGTCAGCTGGTACACTGACTGCCGAAGCCTGTCTGACCACCTCACCAATGTGAATGCAGCTGCGGTATCAGACAAACGTCTTGCCATTGACCTGACGAGCCTACGTCAGGAGCTGTGGCGTGAACGTGGAAACTTTTGGAAACCCAACCTGCAGTGATGAGTTGCCCACCGACTGCACTACCTTGTGCCCATGGGTGGCAACCAAAACGATGCCAGCAGACAGCCTGACGAAGGGTATGAAAAGCCACAAGTGGATGAGCTGATGAAGACTGGCTGGCTGCAAATGATGCTGCAGCAACCGAGCATCGACAGCTAGTGGTTTTACCCTGCAAATGATGCTGCAGGAGCACTCTGATCAGAAGAAAAGTTACGGGTGTGAAACTGACCCATGACATGGACTGACCAGAGTGCGCATCACATGTACATGCCGAGGCCTAGCACTGGCCGACCTTTACCTGCCGGCAACCTGCTGGCTCAAGCGAGCATAAAAGGGGCGCTCGCCCACATCTGCTGTTGCCCAATTTTCATAGTATTTTTTGTTCGCGAAGTATGGCCGTTCCCGGATAAAGGAACTTTGATCAACAACCTATATATGTATGCTTTATTAAATAGTCTGATACCGCGGCAAGCTGCACATGATGCTGGTGCTTCTGCAGTTGCAAATTGAAAGAAAAGGCCGCGCAGGCACAAGCGAGGCAGATTCGCAGGCATAAGCGAGGACTCTTCCTGCCAAACGTGTCACGTGTCAAATGCGGACTCACAGGCCTCAAAGGCTGCCTCAGAGGCACGTCAAAAATGTCAGAGACGTTGTCACGGCAGTGGTCTGTAGTGCCCTAGGCTTGGCCTTGCTCCTGGCCCTTGGAATTTTTATGTTTTCGCAGCTGGCTTGTGGTGGTGTGCCCGGACTCAACGATTTGTTTGTACTTGCTACTCAGCTGCAGAGAACACATGCTTTAGAAATCGTTATAAGGATATTTTATGATATTTGATATGTAAATGATACAAAAGGATGAACTGTGCTGTTTCTGGGTTCTTTCTTGGAGAAACAGATGTCATGCAGTCCTAGTTGCTGCACCGAGGAACAAGAGAGAGGTACGCTATGCGGTGGCTGGCGCAGTGCTGGGAAAGGAACATGCTTTGCAACCAAATGGGTGCCTTGAGCTTTTGACAAAAATCAGAGGAAGGCCTGGGCAATTGTAACAAATGCATGTGTGGATTCCATGGTTCGAAGGTGCTTGTGCTTGTCCCTTCTACAAAGGTCACAAGATGTCCCAACCACTGAATACGAGTCTAGAGCTGCTCAGACCGGCTCGGCTCGGCTGAAAGCCCGAGTCATCTCCCTGGGTAGAGAAGGGAAAGGAAAGAACAAACTAAAACTTGAAGGCAAACTGAGGCATGGGAATCGCAGAAGAATCCAGGAACAAAGGCGGCACAGACTTTGCAGCGATTTCCGTCACCATTTCTTCACACATGATGGCAAGTTTGTATGATTTTGTTGACATTTTGCATTTACTGGGTAAAACTTTGGTTGCTTTGATGGGATCTGTTTTTAATCCGTAAATAGAGGAACATACTGCGCAACTAAGCATTGTTCTTTACAGGATTTTTCCAAGATCAGCCGTGCTTATGTCTTTTTTTTGGCGTAAATACATGGAACTGCTCCTCTACTTGACTTGTTTGGCCATGTCTTTAATTATTCTGTACTTTTTTTTGGGCAAGCTTTGCCTTGGTGATAAATCCGCAATATTTTGCCACAATCTGCATCGCTCCAACGAAGGTAAACGGAGAAAGCAGGAAGCATGCCACCACTCAAGACTCAGACTCTGACCTATAGATCCAATAGGCAGAGGGAAAGGAAAGACATCAGGAAAGCGAGTATATAGAGGAAATGGAAGTGTCATGAAGTATCCAAGCATGTGGTGTCAACTGTAAATAGGAAAGTTGGAATCTTGGGCTGGAAGAGGTTGATCAAATTGGACTAAATAACACATAACACAAATTAACAGAGGTTTGAATCCAAGTTGCAAAGACCTTGCAAAGGTGAAGCACGACTTGGATCCGTATTGCCGCGCAGCCTTTCTACTGACCTGGTTTTTCGCTGGTGCGGCTGGGGTGATTGCGATGATGCTCTTTGTTATGCAGCATCGGGTGTACAAAGGGCGTGCCTTTGCTACAGCTGCTACATCTTGAAATTCGCAGACCAATCGCATTGAACACATTCTAAACCGGTTTTATTTGAACATGTAATTACTTTGCGCACTTTCCTTAGTTTGCAGCAGCTTGCTTTATCTTTATGCATGGTGTTCCAAGGAATGATTGCCGTGCCGAACTACCAAGACAATTTGTATCAAAGGCTATGGTGTGTATATGCCATTTGGCTCATTTGGCTCTGGAGTCCCTGCTGTCAATACAATGATTGTTCTACAATTCTTGAGAGTCAATCTGAGGAGATATTTATGGCGTCGCAGTTAAAGGTGTATGTGGGCCTCGCCCACACTTTGGCACCAGCAGGGAAATGCACTGCTAGGACAGCACGGTGCTCCAATGATGAAGACGAGGCAAGACCCACGAATCCATCGTTTGCTTTTCCGATTTTTGCTTTTCTTAGGGTCAATGTCATGTGACTATCATCACATGGTCTTGCTTCGAAGTCACTCTTCGAAATGTGCCAAATGCTTTCACGCTTGGTCCAATGTACTGGCTGAATGCTTGTGTGATTTTGTGTGCCTTGGTGGGATTTGATCAGCGCGATCTTGTGCCTTCGGTGTGTCTTCCTTCTCTGTTGAGGCTCGCATCCGTCGGGCGATTGAAGCCTTCGGAGCCAGATGCGTCCACAGTCGCAGGCATGGAGCAACTTTGCCCAACCTTCGGGCGTTGCGGGGCATTGCAGCATTTCTATTCTAATTGGAACAATTTGCCTAAATTCACTTAGCTTGTATGAGAAGTCCAGAGGCTTGCGATTCTTCCGGAACAGCCAAGTGGGGATGGATCTTATCACCAATCACTAGCTCGCACCCTGGCCCAGTGCGGGTTGAAGGTGTTGGAAGTGCGCACAGGACCAACTCTCATTTGGCAGTCCTTGACATGTTCGCAGCAGAGCGCACCGATCCAATGGCTATTGCAGCTGAAACTGGCTACAGAAAGGTCGATGCAACCATTGCTTGGACAACAAGCCGGGCTCAGAGAGACGCTTGATCTGCTTAATCTTCTTATGCTCGCTATATCTTGCTACTATTCTTGTGCTTCTTCATGGTTCCGCTTTCATGGTCTGGGTTGTCTGCAGTTTTTCTACGTGTTCTTTCCATGTCGATCCTGAGCTGCTGCGGTTCGATTGGATATTTGGTGAAGCGATCATGCTGCCAGTTTTTCAACATGGCAATGATGTTGACAGTGAAGGTTTGACCAGTGTTGGTGTGAGCACCCAAAATTAAGAGACCCCGTCCCTCCATTTTCACAAGTGCTGCCGCCCCAATCAACATATAGAATGGGCTAACGCCCTGGTGCCGCCGACCCCCTTTCAAGGGTGCGGATATACATACATATATATATATATACATATGATGTTATAATATGCTTATATGGTTTCCGGCTGAGATTTTCACACCTAAACCAATCGATGGAATCCTGTAGCACAAAGCTCCGCAGAATTTGGACCACAAACGGCAGGCTTGAACGTCCTTAACAGCAGAGGGCAGTGGCCTGAGTGCCTGCTCGAAGCTGCCGCGCAGCGTTTGAGGCATTTGAGGCCTGGCAAACGGCAGGCTTGAACGCCCTCAACAACAGAGGGCAGTGGCCTGAGTGCCTGGTCGAAGCTGCCGCGCAGCGTTTGAGGCATTTGAGGCCTGGCAAACGGCAGGCTTGAACGCGCTTAACAACAGAGGGCAGTGGCCTGAGTGCCTGCTCGAAGCTGCCGCGCAGCGTTTGAGGCATTTGAGGCCTGGCAAACGGCAGGCTCGAACGTGGCCTGAGTGCCTGCTCGAAGCTGCCGCAAAGGGTTTGAGGCATTTGAGGCCTGGCAAACGACAGGCAGTGGCCTGAGTGCCTGAGCTGCCGCGCAGCGTTTGAGGCATTTGAGGCCAGGCAAACGGCAGGCTTGAACGCGCTTAACAACAGAGGGCAGTGGCCTGAGTGCCTGCTCGAAGCTGCCGCGCAGCGTTTGAGGCATTTGAGGCCTGGCAAACGGCAGGCTTGAACGCCCTTAACAACAGAGGGCAGTGGCCTGAGGCATTTGAGGCCTGGCAAACGGCAGGCTTGAACGCCCTTAACAACAGAGGGCAGTGGCCTGAGTGCCTGCTCGAAGCTGCCGCGCAGCGTTTGAGGCATTTGAGGCCTGGCAAACGGCAGGCTTGAACGCCCTTAACAACAGAGGGCAGTGGCCTGAGTGCCTGCTCGAAGCGCCGCGCAGCGTTTGAGGCATTTGAGGCCTGGCAAACGGCAGGCTTGAACGCCCTTAACAACAGAGGGCAGTGGCCGAGTGCCTGCTCGAAGCTGCCGCGCAGCGTTTGAGGCATTTGAGGCCTGGCAAACGGCAGGCTTGAACGCCCTTAACAACAGAGGGCAGTGGCCTGAGTGCCTGCTCGAAGCTGCCGCGCAGCATTTAGTTGGAGGCCTGGCAAACGGCAGGCTTGAACGCCCTTAACAACAGAGGGCAGTGGCCTGAGTGCCTGCTCGAAGCTGCCGCGCAGCGTTTGAGGCATTTGAGGCCTGGCAAACGGCAGGCTTGAACGCCCTTAACAACAGAGGGCAGTGGCCTGAGTGCCTGCTCGAAGCTGCCGCGCAGCGTTGTAGGCATTGGAGGCCTGGCAAACGGCAGGCTTGAACGCCCTTAACAACAGAGGGCAGTGGCCTGAGTGCCTGGTCGAAGCTGCCGCGGAGCGTTTTAGGCATTTGAGGCCTGGCAAACGGCAGGCTTGAACGCCCTTAACAACAGAGGGCAGTGGCCTGAGTGCCTGCTCGAAGCGGCCGCGCAGCGTTTCCGGTGGCAAAACGGCAGGCTTGAACCCCTTAAAAACAGAGGGCAGTGGCCCTGAGTGCATGCGCGAAGCAGGCTTGAACGCCCTTAACGACAGAGGGCAGAGGGCCGGATGAGTGCTGGCGGAAGGCAGTAGTGGCCAAGCCAACAAAAACAGCGCTCCACACCTGCGGTGGTCCCAGGACGCCGCCCCTGCCTTGGCGAAGGCCTGGGTCGGCGGATGCTTGAAAAGTAGAGCTTCGCACACCGCAATGCCATAAGGGTTAGGTATAGTGAGTGTGACGTTCGTGTGCTCATTGTGCTTGCGCGTGCGCGCACGTGTGCAGAGCTCCGTGTGACTGTTTTGTCATACCGCATTGTAACCCATCTTACCACACATCTTGGTGTCGCATTTTTGTGATTTGTTCTTCTTCTCTTGTGATTGTTCTCTTGTTCTTGTTTCTTGTTCTGTTGTTGTTGTTGTTGTTGTGTTGTTGTTGTTGTTGTTGTGTGTTGTGGTTGTGGTTGTTGGTTGTTGGTGTTGGTTGTTGGTGGTTGGTGTTGGTGTGGTGTGGTTGTTGGTGTGGGTTGTTGGTTGTTGGTTGTTGGTTGTTGTGTTGTTGTGTTGTTGTTGTTGTTGTGTTGTTGTGTTGTTTGTTGGTGTTGTTGTGTTGTTGGTTGTTGTTGTTGTGGTTGGGTTGTCGTTGTCGTTGTCGTTGTCGTTGTCGTCGTTGTGTCGTTGTCGTCGTTGTCGTCGTTGTCGTTGTTGTCGTTGTTGTCGTTGTTGTCGTTGTTGTCGTTGTTGTTGTTGTTGTTGTTGTTGCTGTTGCTGCTGCTGCTGCTGTGGTGGTGGCCCATCGGCAAGGTCCGTCATAGGCGGATCTTGGGGCGAGGTTGGCCCAGCTTGCGGCAATGCTGGCGCCTCTTCGACCAGCTTGGAGCCATCGAGGGGCTATGTACCCCTCTTGGGGCCGCGTTTTGGGGCAGATGTTGGGCCATGTTGACCCATCTTGATCCACAAGATCCGAAAAATGGGAAAGCCACAAAACTGCATAAATTGCAGGGTGTTTGTACCGACGACGGTAGGGTCGGCGGCAGGGCGGGCAGCGCCTCTGTCCTACAGAGAGAGGAGAGAACTGCCGTACGGCAATGCCACGGCCAAGGGGCTTTGGCCCCTGGCCGGATATAAGGGCTTACGCCCCGACAGGGGGCCCACTTGAGGGTAAAGGATCATAAAGTCTGTAGTAGGCGCATCTTGGGGCGAGGTTGGCTGAACTTGTGGGTATGTTGGCCCTCTCTTGGACCAGCTTTAAGGGCTTTGTTGGCCTGTCTTCGAGCTATGTTGGCCCATCTTGGGGCTATGTCGGCCCAGCTTCCGGCCCATGTTGGGCCATCTGGGGGCTATGTTGGGCCAGCTTCCGCGCGTTTTGCGGCTTATGTTGGCTATGTTGACGCATCTTGATCCACAAGAGCGAAAAAATGGGAAAGCCAAACACCGTAAATTGCGGGGTGTTTGCAGGGTCGGCGCCAGGGGTCGCGGCCCCTCTCTCCTGCGAGGAGAGAAGGCCTACGGCAGTGCCGGCCACGGGGGCTTGGGGCTGCTGGCCGGATTTAAAGGCTTACGCCCGACAGCAGGCCAGGCCCGCTTGAGGATAAAGGAGCAGCAATAGAGCACAAAGAAGAATTGAGGTTAAAGGACCGCAACTATATATAGGGTGTTCTTTGGCTTTCCCATTTTTTCGATCTTGTAGATGAAGATGGGTAAACATGGCCCAACATAAGCCGCAAAACGCGCGGAAGCTGGCCCAACATAGCCCTCAGATGGCCCAACATGGGCCGGAAAGCTGGGCCCACATAGCTACAAGATGGGCCAACATTGACGGAGGCTATGTTGAGCCAGCTTGCGCGCGTTTTGGGGCGTATGTTGGGCCATGTTGACCCATCTTGATCCACAAGATCGAAAAAATGGGAAAGCCGCCAAGAAACTAAGAGAACCTTCACCCCAGACGGGCTTGGACAGCCTGGGTTCCAGCCTTGGCGCAGCCCTGCGAAGGCTGCGAAGGCTGCGAAACAGGGAAGATGGCAGATGTCACCTTAGGAAGCCATTAAGAAATTGAGGAAATTTTCACCAGAAGGACCCCAGGCGAAACAGGGAAGATGGCAAACGTCACCTTAGGAAGCCAGAAAGAAACGGAGAGAACCCTCACCAGAAGGCCCCCAGACGGGACATAAGGAAACCATTAAGAAGCTGAGGGGCCCCTCACCAGAAGGTCACCCTTCCCCAGACTGAGGGAACCATCGCCAGAAGAGGTTGCGAAACAGGGGAGATGGCAAACGACAGCTTAGGAAGCCATTAAGAAACCTGGGTGCTGCCGTGACGGAAGGGTGCGAAGGCCACGAAACAGGGAAGATGGCAAGCATTACCTTAGGAAGCCATTGAGAAACAGAGGGGGCCCCCAACAGAAGGCCCGACCTTGGACAGCCTTGGTGCAGCCCTGCGAAGGCTGCGAAACAGGGAAGATGGCAGACGTCACCTTAGGAAAGCCGACGGGCTTGGACAGCCCGGGTGCAACTGGGGAAAGGCTGCGAAGGCTGCGAAACAGGGAAGCTGGCAAACGTCACCTTACAAACCATTAACAAACTGAGGGAACGATCACCAGCTTGGACAGCCTGGGTGCAGTCGTGGGGAAAGGGCGCGAAGGTTGCGAAACAGGGAAGGATGGCAAACGTCACCTTAGGAAGCTATAAAGAAATTGAGGGAACCTTCACCAGTGCCCCCAGACGCACACAGCCGTGCGAAGGCTGCGAAACAGGAAGATTGCAAACATCACCTTAGGAAGCCATTAAGAAACTGGGGGACCTTCACCAGAAGGCGCCCAGACGGGCTTGGACAGCCTTGGTTGAGCCCCGCAGGGGGTGGACAGCCTGGTTGCGGCCTTCACCAAAATTTCCCCAGACAGGCTTGGACAGCTTGGGTGCAGCCGTGGGGAAAGGCTCCGCGAAACAGGGAAGATGGGAAACGTCACCTCAGGAGGGACCCTTGACCAGAAGGCCCTCAGACGGGGTTGGACGGCCTGCATGGGTGCAGCCCTGGGGAAAACTGCGAAGGGTGTGAAAAAGGGAAAGTTGCAAATGTCAGCTTGGGAAGCCATTAAGAATCTGAGAGAACCTTCACCAGAAGGCTGCCAGACGGGCTTGGACAGCCTGTGTGCAGCCCTGAGGAAAGGCTGCGAAGGCAAGGAAGATGGCAAACATCACCTTAAGGAGCCATTATGAAACTGAGGGAACCTGCACCACAAACCGCCACACGGGCTTGGACAGCCTGGGTGCGAAGGCTGCGAAACATGGAAGATGGCAAACGTCATCTTAGGAAGCCATAAAGAAATTGAGGGAACACTCACCAGAAGGCCCTCAGACGGGCTTGGACAGCCTGGGTGCAGCCCATGGGGAAAGGCTGCGAAGGCTGCGAACCAGGGAAGATGCCAAACGTCAGCTCACTAAACGATTAAGAAATTGAGGGAACCATCACCAGAAGGCCCCCCGAGACAGGCTTGGAGAGCCTGGGTGCAGGCAGGGAAAAGCTGCGAATTCTGCGAAACAGGGAAGATGTCAAACGTGACCTTATAGGAAGCCATTAAGAAATTGAGGGAACCCTCACCAGAAGGGCCCACAACGAGTTTGGACAGCCTTGGCACAGCCCTGCGAAGGCTGTGAAACAGGGTGCGAAAGGGGCTTGGACAGCCTGGATGCAGCCGTGGGGAAGGCTGTGAGCAATAGGAATCCATTAAGAAGTTGAGGGAGCCCTCACCAGAAGCCCTTCAGACAGGCTTGGACAGCCTGGGTGCAGCCTTGGGGGAAGGTTGCGAAGGCTGCGAAACAGGGGAGGTTAAGAAACTGAGGGAAACCTCACCAGAAAGCCACCAGACGAGCAGAAGGTGCCCAGACGGGCTTGGACAGCCTTGGGAAAGATTGCGAAACGGGGAAGATACCACACGTCACCTAAGCCGCCTTGGCCTTAGCCATTAAGAAACTAAGGGAACTGCACCAGGAGGCTTCACTTTCGGAAGCGCCGCGAAACAGGGGAGATGGATGGCGATTGTATGGTCATGTGTGGTTCAAGCTTCTCTGGCGCACTCCCCCTTTAAAAAAAGGTTATGAATATGTGTAAATGTATACGTATACAATTAAATAGATATCTGGAACCTGCTGTCCAAGACGTTTTTCGAAATCGCAGCGATTTGACTTGAGCAACCTGATCCAAAAGACCTTGGACTCTCTATCCCCAAGCTCAGGAGTGGATGTGGGTGATCATTCGAATCATGCTGCTGGGCACTGCCTTGCAAGGCAGTGTTACAGTTCTGTCATACTCAATGGGACTGCTTCGGGGATACTTTGCACTGGGTCACTTGTCACGAGGAGAAGCGCTGTAGTCGTCATGGTTTTTGTCAAATCATTTACATATGTAACATATGTATATATATATACACATTATATGCTACATTTTATGTATATTATGTATATTATACATAGTGTATCAAAGGGTGTGCAGTACCTGACAATACGTGGGCCCTATTGGGCTAAGGCGTGACAGCCCATTTTATCCCATCTTGGCCGCGCGAGTCCAAACCACAGAAGAAATCCCTCTACCATTTTGCCATCTTCAACTTGTATTTGACGGCTCTATAAATTATCATATGCCTAACAAATTCTTGCCCATATTCCAGGGCCGATCATATTCCATGCCAAAACAGTTTTGAAATTTCATAAAATTGCGAAGACCCAATTCAGGTGAAATGTGGGTTTCATGATGTTAGCGAAGCGCTGTTTTCTGTGGCACATGCATTGTTGACAGCACATGTTCCTGGCCCCCCCTTTTTTTTCTGTCAGCGCAATTTTGAAATGACCCCCGAGTTGAACCAAAAACACCCAAAATGTAGACTGTCAAACCATGGAGTACGATGACACCCCTGGTGTCGACAATTTTTGGCACGCGAAAAAAAGTCAGGATGCGTGGCCCCTTGGCATTCACAATTGTTTTCACATACCAGAAAAGTTTCACGCTTGGCCCTGCCGACCTTGCTGGAGTGCCTGAAAAGAAAACCCTGGAGCTCAAAAGAACCAGATTTGCATGTAATGCGATCGTATGTGAAACTTCAGAGGTTTCAGATGAGAACTCCATCTTTCCCATATTCCAGAAACACGTGACTCCAGGCCATTTTAGCTCAAAAAGAAAAAAGAAAAAACACCTGCTCAGGCGGGAAAAATGTAAAGTCAATGTCGTGTCCCGAATACAAGGATTTTGTGGTATGCGATACCTGTTCTGGAGCGCGATGATTTCTGAGTATGTGTGGTGAATGAGATGACACCTGTGGAGTGCGATGGCGCCTGTGGAGTGCCCAGGTCCCTTCCAAGCGCATTAAGTTTTGAATATGCGTGCCTAGAAAGGCCAAAAGAGACGGCCAAAAAATGAATTCCCAATCCCAGCCCCAAACCTCGACAGACTCACCAATGATTTTTGTATTCTGTTTTCACACCATGCAAAATTTCACTGGCCAAACCATTCCCTTCACATTGAGCTGAAGTAAAGTAGCATACCAAAACCCAGGCCTGGAGTACCAGTAGTACAGCACAAGGCGGTGGCGGAAGTTCCAAAAACAGGAAACCTATAGGAGAGGTTGGTTGTTGTGAATCACGGATGGCAGAGCGAATCCACTGAATGGACCGAAAGGTGGTTGAGTTGTGTTTTTTTCGAGTGGCTGCAATGGCTGCAGCGGTCACCTCACTCACAGCTGCTGGATGTAGTGTGGTGTAGTGCAGCTGTAGTTGTAGTTGTAATGTAGTGGAATCGTAGTTGTAGCATAGTATAGCATAGTGTAATTAGTGTGGTGCAATTGCAGTTGTAGTTGTGGTGTGGTGTAATGAGTGTAGTGCAATGTAATGTAGTGTAGTGTGTTGTACTGTTGCGTGCGGTAGTGTAGCCTAGTCTAGTCTAGTGTAGTGTGGTGTGGTGTAGCGTGGTGTAGTGGAGTGCAGTGTAGTATAGCGGAGTGTAGTGTAATGTAATGCAGCATACCGTAGTTGTAGTAGTTGTAGTAGTTGTTGTAGTTGTATAGTTGACGAAGGAAGTTTAGAAGCCAAACTTCCAACAATATGGACAGATGAGAAGCAGAGATGGGAAGAGTCAGAGAAGAGAAGAAGAAAGAAGATCACAGAAGAGAAAGTCCCAGAAGAAAGAAATTCCAGGCGCGCGAAAAGGTAAATCGCGAAACTGGAGTGGAGTGGAGTGTAACTAGTCTAGTGTAATGTAATTCGTGTAGTACGAGTAGTGTAGTGTAATGTAGTATGGTTGTAGCTGTAGTTGTAGTGTAGTGTAATTGAGTGTAGTGTAGTGTAATGTAGTGTAAGTTGTAGTTATAGTTGTAGTTGTAGTTGGTGTAGTGTAGGGGAGTGGAGTGTAGTGTAGTGGTGGTTGTGGTTGAAACTGCAACAAAACCCTCACGTTTTTCTCATTTTTGACAAGGTGCAGAATCCCTTGCGCCGGCCATGCGAAACGACATCTGAACGCCCAAAAGTGGTCCGAACATGTAGTGTTTTTGACATTTTGACTTGGAAAGGCCTTCGCGCCACAACGGTGTACACTTTAAACATCTCAACTTCCAAAAGTGCTCCGAGGCTGAGGTGTTTTGCCCATTTTAACTTGGACATGTGCTTCGCGCCACAACAGCATGCACTTTTTCGACATCTCAACTTCCAAAAGTGCTCCGAAGCTGAGGTGCTTTGCACATTTTAGCTTGGAAATGTGTTTCGCGCCACAACAGCATGCACTTTTTCGACATAAAGTGCTCCGAGGCTGAGGTGTTTTGTACATTTTGACTTGGAAATGTGCTTCGCGCCACAACGGCGTGCATTTTTTCGACATCCCAACTTCAAAAAGTGGTCCGAAGCTGAGGTGCTTTGTAAAGTTGATTTCGTAATGCGCTTCGTGCCACAAGGGCGTGCAAGGTTTCATCTCTCATCTGGCCAGATGGCTCCCCACCCGCCGCTTTAGCGAGCCTACTTTTCGACCCTCCGGAGCCACAAATCATTGGAGAAAGCACAGCGAATCGCGACTTTTCCACCGTTTCGCGCTTCTTTCTTCTGACTCTTTCTCTTCCCTGATCTTCTTTCTTCTGCTCTTCTCTTCTCTGACTCTTACCACCTCTGCTTTTCCATCTGTCCATATTGCCGGAAGTTTGGCTTCTAAACTTCCTTCGATGATGAAAATTTGGTCACAGGAAGTTTATATAGTTAGAAAACTTCCGAGTCACGGACTATTGTCATGGACAGCGTTCCCACCATCATTTCAACCAGTGACCCAGCTTTGCAACCCAACAGCAGGCCAGGGTTACAAGGCTGCAATGTCATCAGGCAAGGTTCCAAGGCCTTGCAGGGCCCCAAGATTCTACAATTGCAGGTTTCCAGGGTTGCAAGGTTGCAGATTTCGAGAGTTCCAAGGTTGCAGAATTCTAGATTACCAGGGTTCTGGGGTTCCAAGTTTGAGAAAAGCGTCAACTCTACAGCTTCACAAGGTGCAAGGTTCAAAGTTATTCACAAGGGCTCTCGGTTTAGGCAGGGTAGCAAAGATCAAAGCTTACAAGAGGCCAAGCTTGGGGTTCCACCATTCCATGACCCTAGAGCCACATACTTCCAACGCCCCAAGTTTCCTGGTTCCAAGATTCCATGGGCCAAGGGATCCATATTGTGAAACTTCCGGTAAAGCTTGAGGGTTCCCAGTGCAGGTTCCAGATTTGCAAGAAGTCGAAAGTTCCAGAGTTCTGGAGATCCAGGGTTGCAGGATTCTAAGGTTGCAGGGTTCCAAGGTTCAAAGATTACAAGGCTCCAGGAATCCAAGGTTGCAGGTTTCCATGGTTTCAAAGCTCCAAGATTTCAGAGTTCCTGGGTTACAGGGTTCCAAAGCAGAAACCCTTTGCTGGAGACCTTGCAGGAATTCCTTACAGGAAGTTTCGTGGTAACCTTTCCGGACGCCTCAACAAAACTTGCGGATTTAGTTTGAGTTTTGTTTTATTAGATTGCATTTTTCTCTGCTTAATGTTGCATGAACAATCTGGAGCGATAAAGTTTGGAATCTTGGAACCCTGAAAGCTTAAAAGCTTGCAGCCCTTTAATCTTGAATAAGTCTAAGAACCTTGGCAACCTGCATCCTTGGGATCCGGGTACAAGATTGGAACTTTGCCCCTTGACCTTGCAACCTTGGAACCCTGGAGAGCAAGGTTCATGCCAGGGCCCCAGCAAAGGTTTCGTCAAAGGTTCAAGCAAGGATGCCAGCATCACAGTTTCAGCAAGGGATCCTCGTCTTTAATTGCCTGCCCCCCTCAAAAAAAGCGAGAAATTTAGAAGTTGTCCTCATATAGGTTCCAGCAAGGTTTCAAGCCAGACTTCCAACCTCACAACCCGCCACAGCAAGCAAAGCAAGAAACAATGTAAAAAGAAAATCGAAACCGACACCCGCATTGGTTCCCAGCAACATGTTCCAGCCAGAGTTTCCAACAACAAGGTTCCAGTGAGGTTCCAGCAAGGTTTCACCACGTTCCAGCAAGGGTTCATCAGGTTCCAGCAGACCAGCAATGCTCCAATAACTTTCCAGCAAGGTTCCAAGTTTCACCAAGTTTCACCATGTTCCAAAAAGGTTCTAGCAAGGTTCCAGCAAAATTTCAACGACTTTCCAGCAAGGTTCCAGCAAGGCTTGACCAGTTTCCAGCAGGTTCCAGCAGTTTGCCAGCAATGTTCCAGCAATTTCCGGCAAAAAGTTCCAGCGACATTCTAGCAAGGTTCCAGTAGTGTTCCGGTTTTCCAGAGCATGCACTTTGCTGGTGCCACTCCCCGGCCCAGAGATTAAAACCCAACAGGATCGCTCTCGAAACGCTGCAGCAAGGTTCCCAGGAAGTCAGCAGGTTCCAGCAAGGTACCAGCAAGATTCCAGGAAGGTTGCACGGTTCAGGCAAGCCAGGAAGGTTCCAGCAAGGTTCCAGCAGGGTTGCAAGCAAGGTTCCAGCAAGGTTCCAGCAAGGTCCCAGGAAGGTTCAAGCAAGGTTCCAGTAAAATCTCATCAAAAATCCAGCAAGGTTTTCAGCAAGGTTCCAGCAAGGTTCCAGGAAGGTTCAAGCAAGGTTCCAGTAAAATCTCATCAAAAACCCAGCAAGGTTTTCAGCAAGGTTCCAGGTTCCAGGAAGTTTGCCTTGAACTTATGTAAACACGTTTGTCGCAGTCCATTGTTATTGGACGTGTTGGATATATCAATATATTGTTAATACAATACAATCACAGCAGTTCATGAGTAGCTTTATTCGACATGACACCTAAATTGAGCGGTGTTACGAGAGGGCACCCATATGTATAATGAC